CACACACACACACACACACACACACACACACACACACACACACCATCATCATCAGCCCTGTCTGTTTCTCCAGGTGTTCCATTGTTCTATTCACATCTACACGTTAGCGGATTTCAATACTACCAAACTCTGCTTATGAGAGTTTGAGATGGTGAGCTCACGCAGACTGCCTCCTTTTCTTATGTTTTTGTACTCCCATCCATTACAGCTGTCTGGAGTAGGATGCGTGCCTCCTCCCACTCCTATAACTCTACCATCCATTACTCTGCGCTGGCAAACGGACAGACGCTTCCTCCCACACCCACAGAGGAATGAACATCACATTACGACCACAACAGCTACACACACATTCGCAGATTTGTGACTTTTTATGTCATAACCTGTACTTTGTGCTCTTACCGTGGATTGGTGATGCAATGCTTTGCGCTGATCTTTGAAGCGATAAACTGTTAGCAGATTTCACCACACTCTTGTGTTGCGACAGTTTTGTGAAAGGTGCTTACAAACAGAAATGCCAGCACGGTCTATCCAATGCTTGGCGTTATGTGAAAACGCCAACACAGCTCCAACTTTAACTTTGGATTTATTTTCACAGGACATAGGAAAATGCATACTTTTATAAAGTCCATGCCCATCCACAGAATTTAAAAAAATGAAGTTCTTTTTCTCATATTGTACGTTGTTACAGCATGTTTTTCTTAAGTCTTATATTTTAGCTTCTCTCCCTCTCCCTCTCTCTCAGACATGCTTGCCAAAAGGCCCAGTTGGCTCTGAGTGGTCAGTTAATTCATCAAAAAAAGTGCAGTGTGCCCAGCAGTTTCTGTTTGTGGTGCACAAAACTAACCACTACATTACCACCAATAAGTTACAAAGTAGGTATAAATTATGCATCAAAGGTCATGCACAACCAGCATCCAAGGTTATAATAGTTTAGGATTTTTCATTATAGTATAGTTTTATTTTGATGCGACATTTTTCTTTTAATTCAGTTAGTTTTAATTAGTTTTTACTGTGGATTTGGTTGTTTTTATTAGTTATTATTGTTTGTTTAATGCTTAGTTTTAGTTTAGTTTAGTTTTTTTTATAGATTGAATAAACATATTTGCTAATGCATCCTCCAGCTTGTGATGTTCCTGTGAGTTAACTAACCAACAGCTATTTGGTTACTAGTTAAAGCAGTCCATTATAAAGACACCTTCCCAAAATAATTATGTAACTCAATTTTGCCAACTAAAAACTTGGGAGATTATTTTAGGACAATGATAATAGTTGTCTCCAACCCGGTGCTACCTGCTGCTTGTTTTTCACATGAGCTACTGAGAGAAGCTAGTGTGTCAGACAGTCATAGTTAGCCATCTTGGGTGAGCTTGATTCATGTAGATTTTCCCTTGAGAATTATTCCACCTGTTTTATCACCTGTTTCCACTACAAGACACTTGCTTTTATTTTTCTCACAATCATATTCAAAGAAATCCCAAAGTGGACATTGCCACTTTCTCCCAACAGATTGTAAACAAGTGTTGTTACAGACCATGAGGTGATGTAAGCTGCCCACAGTTAATGTGAAACTCAATTAACAAAAAATTAAAATAAAAGATCCACATGGCTCAAAATAAATTGACAACACTAAAACTAAGGATATTCTATTGATAATTTCAGTTAGTTTTAGTTAGATTTGTAAAAAGATTATACAGTTTTAGTTAGTTATCGTTATTTTCATTTTATTACAGTTTTTATTTATTTTAGTTAACTAAAATTTTATTTTCACTTTCAGTTTTTGTTATTTAGTTAGTTTTAGTTAACTATAATAACCCTACCAGCATCCATCCATTATCTTTACCTGCTTCTTCCTTTCAGGGTCACGGGGGTCACTGGTGCCATACCCAGCTGTCACCGTGTGGGGGACGGGGTACACCCCAGACAGGTCTGAAATCTATCACAGTGTCACGTAGAGACAAACRAACATTCACTCTCACCTAGGGACAATTTAGAGTTCCCACTTAGCCTAACGTACGTTTTTGGTCTGTGGAAGGAAACTGGAGTACCCAAAGAAAGCCCAGAGAGAAACATGCAAACTCTACTCAGAAAGGTCTCTGGCCGAGATTTGATCCAACAACCTTTTCACKGAGGGGCACCAGGTCTACCTGCTGCACCACTGTGCAGTCCCACAAACAGCATCCACTTGTGGCTGTTTTTGTGAACATTTAATGTTCACAATAACCTACTAAAACATTCAAAATAAAAAGGGATCAGTTTAAAACTCTGAAGGAAAATAAAATCAACATTCTATCCAACCTACTCAGRTGCTTTTTATCTTCCTAAAACCTAAGAAAAGAAAAAAAGAAAAGAAAATCACTTTGAAAAACGTTTCGAAAAGAAAACTTTTTACCACTATATATAACATAAGATGTTAAATGCCTTGATAATTCTGGTTACTGAGCCTTTAATAATATTTCATGTTTGAGAGAGACATGCCTATAGCACTTGGCCTACTGAAAATGACCTGCGGTCAGGTTGTGTGCAGTAGGACAGGAATGCTCTGACACGCTCGTAAGGCCTATGTGACTAGGGTGACTGGGGAGTGAATAAATTAGCCCCCAGGCTGCTCTCCTTTCTCTCTGTTTGCCCCATAACTCAACTACACAAAGCAGCATACCCGTCGCACAAGCAGTCTGAAGCATAACACAACTGTTGCACCTGTCAGTGCCAATATACACTAGGCATCAAACACATTTACGCACACACTCATCAGCTTGTGAACCTGCAGTCTACCGTTTAACTCCTATGACTTCATCCTCTCCCACTT